TAAGGTTGGAACTTGGAAACGGTAATTGATTGCGATCCTTGACTTTCATTTGCTTATGAACTTGTATTGATGTTATCATTCATGTTATGATGTTACCTTTGATTGATATTGATTATCATATGTTGTTGATTATCCTATTGTCTTTATCATTGTTTATCATATGTAACATTTTCCATTATGTCACCATTAAGTGGTACAAGTTAATAGGCCATTTATGACCATTATGTTGTGGTTTGAAACATAAGTAACGGTTTCTGTTACTTAACCTATAATGATGGCGCATAGGTTATATATATGTATGGTCCCCCCACTGCTCCTGGGATTCGCGATACACTCCATCTAGTTCAACAGGAGACCAAGTGGTAGACAAAACACCAAAATTCCTTACAAATCTTCAAGCAATACAACAAAAATTACAACTATTGCGGGAGATGCTCGATCATATGCTTCTACTGTCAAGGTTAGATTGCATGTATTGATTTGTTTATTTCTAACATTTGGTATCAGAGCTTGTTTAATCTCTGCCTAGTTGATAAATTTGCATATGATATATATTTTGAATTATATTATATATTACGCAATATAAGTTTTATTGCTGTTTTTTTTTCCTGGAGAATATGTTTGTAGTATGAATATCAGTTGCTATGATATTTCTGATTTACAAAAATTATTTTGAATAAAAAAAAAAAGTAAAAATCCAACCTGCTGCAAGTTTTCACGGGAGAATTTATTTTCCTAACTTTCTACGTATGAGTTTCGGACGGTCTCCAGTTCACCCTTTTCTCCGATGACTGCTATTAGGCGTCAGAGAAATGACAACTACGGTGATGATGAAATGATTGCCATAAGGCTCGTCGTCGGCGTTGGGTTTTCCGACTAGAGGCAGGAGGTCGTAGCTTACGTTGCTGGGTTCGAGGTGGTAGTTGCGAGCGGTAATGTTCCTTCTCCGTCAGATCCGGCCAGTTTTGTTTTCTTCCTCTCCATCTGGCGATGTTTCTTTCTGTCTCCTTCGACGCCACTAGTTGATGTTGTCGCTATCCGTGATTGTACTCCGGCGAAGGGGGGCAGTGGCAAGGACGGTCATCGTTGACGTCCTGGCGCTGCGACGCAGATCGGAGAACATACAGATCGTCTATATTTCTAGTGGCATTATGGTCTCCATCCCCGAAGGCTTTTGGTTTCGATGGTTGGCTGGCTGACGACGTAGAAGGGCCGCTGGTTTTGTGTCAATTAAGATTTGGCTCATGTGGGAATTTTTTTTTATTGGTTTTGCCTGGTCGAGGTGTTACCGTATATTCCTGCCGGCAGAGCATGTCAGCACTGCCGCCCATTATGATGGGTGTCTAGTGGTGTGAATGGCAGGCGGTGGGGACTGTTTTTGCGCTGTTCGGTGCTGCGAACTTTACCCTTGCCTTTTCCGTTTGAAAAATGTCGGTGGTGGCGTCGTTGGCCGTCCCAATTGGCATCCTGGGCCGTAGCACCGTCGGAGTGGTGATTTTTTCGTTCGCTTACGGTAATCCAGCGCCGCCGAGCCATTGTCTGAGAAGAAGGGTTTGTGATTTCGTTGTCTATAAGCATCGTCATTGAGGGTTGCCCATATGTCTTCGTTGGAGTGGCTGTCCACCAGCGTCAGCATGAAGTTTGGTTAGCCACTAGTCTTTTGCCGTCATTTTCGGCGGGCAGCAGACGGGGTGAGAAGCTCTGGAGGAAGGCGATACAGACGTTGCGCTATTACCACTACTGGAAATTATGGAATTTCCGACCACCTGAAAGTGATCTTAAATCAAGTCGAAAGCCTTGTTCCGACCACTTTTGGTATCCGGAAAAATCTTTGTTTCTATTTCCGACCACTTTTTGCTTTCAACTTGATTTAAGATAACTTTCAAGTGGTCGAAAATTTCATAATTTCCAGCAGTGTACTACTCCATTAATGATCTTCAATATTACGCTTTTCGCACTTCCTCATAGAATTGGTACTTCAATTGATTACCATTATTATTGTTTATTTTGGAGCCATTATTCCGGAAATCCTGTCCTTGCGTTTCTTGTCCTTAATTAAAGGGTGTAGTTTTTCAAATTGGTTAGGATTGTATTGCTTTCTGGTATTTGCAGTATGTTTTAGAAAATTACCATGATTGTGCTAATTTCTTTAATTATGGTGATAAAAATTTTCCGTCTAAACCTTTTATTTTTTAATATGCCATTATGCGGATTTGTTACACGGCTTAAGTTTTAAGTATTTCCCGAAAAATGTTTTAAAGGCTTGCGGTTTCAGCAATTGCTTTTTCATTTTAAATCACCTAATTGTTATAATATAATATTATGTGATTATTCTGGCTTTCATTGCAATTATAGAATTTTGCAATTTGTCATCATTTGATAATATTTTAAATTATGGAGTGTGATTTTGAATCACAGTTTGGAAAAAACATATGATTATGACAATTGAATATTATTTTATTATTATCATAATAATTTAGATTATGATTTTAAGAATCATATTTTGAAATTCATTTGAATTTGCTTGTCCACAACTTTTATGGTAATAATGATGATATTATGTAATATTTAATAATAATGATGATTATCAATATTATAATTAAATGTTGTTCGGTTACAATTAAGAAAATTGATTATTCCGTTATTACTATTAAGTAAAAATTATATATTAGAATTATTATAGTATAACAATAATTGGTTTTTGAACCGATGGATCAATGTTTTGTGCCGTTACTATCATCATTTGTTTCGGATTTTGATAGTGTGATTTGAAATCATAATTTTGAAACCATTTCATTTTTTTTTATCCAAATCATATGTGTAAATAATGATAATACTTTGTAACATTTTATAGTTATTGCTATTAAATGTCAGGGGTTACGATTGAGGAAATTGATTATTCTGTTATTACTCTCACGTAATTATTATTACAGAAACAACGGTTATCAATTTTGAACTGAGGAATCAATATGTCGTAACATTGTTATCATTATTTGTGATGCCCACTTTGATTGAGTATGAATATTTGATTTTATATTCATATTTTTGAGTTTGTTTTATGCATATAATTAAATTAAGTGCATAATATTATGGTTTTAAATTATGCAATTTAGTTTTTTGAGAATTTAATTTGTAAATGTCAACATATCATATAATTTTGATATGGTTAGAATTTATAATTTTAACCTAGTTCTCATAAAGTTTACTATATGCATTGAATCATTTTTGTATTTGGCCTACAAGTTAAAACTTTTCAATAATTGAAAAGTATATGGTTATTATAAATTATTATTCAATTTTTTCCTTAAAGTTTTGATTTATGTTGTTATTTGAATTTGAATAATAATTTTATAGCTCATTTTAATTAGACAAATCATGTTATATTCTTACAACACTCTTGTAGCGTTATCCACTCAATATTATTACTACAATTATCTCTTGATCTTTGTCTATTTTACCGCTGTAATTTATACAAATTTATTGATTCGTACCGGGGTCAATTTGTTTCATCATGATGAATGAAATCATATAAGGAAGTTAAATCATAAAATTCATAAAGAAAATAAATGAGGCATGTTGTAACCTATTAGCTCAAGCATAATTAATAAAAGAAATTACAGAGAGAAAAAAAAAAAAGAGACAAAGCAAGAGTATAATTCTTTATCCAACTTCTTCATCCAATACAAGGGGTACATCTCCATATGTATAGTGAAATGTTACAGATCTACATAATGAGCTATAAATGCATCCCTTACAGACGTTACAAATATTGTCCACTAAATACATTTTATAACAGATAATATATATACGAATCTCCCGATATGCATTTATGGAAATTAGAATGGAAATCTCCATAAATGCAATTAATGTGATTATAATGGAATTACATTGTGAATTTGTGATGATTTTATGAAACCAGGTTCCATCATGGACCGGGTAGGAACCGTAGGATATACAAAATTGTGATAGGAATAATAATAATAATAATAATAATAATAATAATAATAATAATAATAATAATAATAATAATAATAATAATAATAATAATAATATTATTATTATTATTATTATTATTATTATTATTATTATTATTATTATTAATATGAGCCTTAATTAAGTTCAATAGATTATATACAACTCAAGATTACAATTCAAGAAACTGATAAATAATAAATAAAGGAGCTAGGAATAATGGCAAATTAAATGGTGGACCATGAATAAATTTATATTTCTAATATATTAAATGTACATTATTTGTGTACAAAATGTTTATTATTTGATAGTATATACCATATTTGCATTTTCCTCCACTACCTCGCCCCTTTTTTTTTTTTTTTTTTTTTTTTTACCTCCACCATCCTCACCAGCCTCTTGTCGCACCACTTTGTCCAGCCCCAGTAGCGGGAGGTGCCACCGACACTACGAAGAGCGCTCGATGCCCACTAGCCACACTATAGCTCGAGGAGTTCAGGAGACCTATTTTTTCGGCGGATAGGGACCATTGGTCTAAACACTGCTCCCACACCCTGGCCCCTTAGCGGTAAGTCAGTAAAACCCATGACCCAACCTAACCATCTATGCTCAACATTCCTACACCCCCCCCCCCTCACATCGAAAATCATAACCCCTTACACTATGTCTGTGTGGGTAAACATTAAAATGCAATGAAATTTAACTTAGAAACATTTCTATCTTACCTGTGTTGCATTCACACATATCTATAGTTCACCAAACTTGGCTAGTAAAATTTACTTCATCAACGCTCATGCACAAATTATACAATAAAAAAAAAATACTATTTTACATTTAATTATACACAATTATAAAGTCATTAATGAACTCTAAATCAACACATCAAAAAGCAAAATTTTCGTCCCCCAACATGACATGAACAATTCATTTACAGACCAATCATGGCTGGTGAAACAAGGGTATCCACATAACTAGTAACCATATAACCAAGAGCATAGGGGATATTAAAATTCTTACCCCTTCTAGCATTAGGACCGTCTATGGAGCTTCAACTGATGCCCAACCATCATTAGAATATCACCGTTTTCCGAAACATGTACAATTGCTAGTTTAGCATTACACAGAGCCATGTATGCAGTGTTCTCTGAACCCCGGAGAAGTGGATGATGAATTGGTAAGTTTGAAATGCAGACTAGTTTAGTCCATGATTCTTGAACTCCAAACTCATTCATCAACCAAACTTCCATTTGATGTTTGTGATGAAAACCTGCAAAAACCAATCCTCTTGACTCACCTATACAAATGGCAGCTCCATGTTCATGGATGGATAACGCTATAGCTTTGGCTGTTTCGGTGGTTAAATTAAAAGAAATTATATTCCAATTCTAGTCATTCTCATCTAAATTGTTGTTGCACCAGTTGAGACTACCACTCACAAACACAGCAATTCTGGGATAAACAAACCCACTACTAAACCCTCTATCACTTCTTTTCCATGACCCACGCTTAAAACTATACACCAAAATCACATTTTCATCACCATTATTCTCCGCATAATAAGCATAAACAACCTTGTAGTCCTGATTATGCATGTCGTATCCAAATCCAAATATACTAATGTAGCCCGACCGCCAGATATCTGGGATTGTCTTGATGTTTCCATTTAATGAAGGGTTCCAAATCATTATTTGATACGGTTTAGCACGAAAGCAAAAGAGTCCATTGCAAGAACCCAAGAATTCGAAACCACCTTCCGGGATTAAGACCGAGCGGTCAAATGTATTAAACTTGCGAAATGATGATTGCTTGTTTTCTGTAATAGAAAACAAGGACATATAGCTAATCCGATTTACACTGCTATACGTCATGACCTTAATATCCTTTTTCGAATGAAAATTTAGGTGCAATTTGACAAATTCTGGAGATGATACTAAAGCACGCCAAACTTTTGAAACACACCTAAATTGCAGCAGAGATTTCACAGGCAGCCTTTTGAGGATTTCTGTGATTATATCTTGATTCAGATTTTGTTGTGGCATATGGCGCTTAGGAGTAGGGAATGACATCGTGATTCTGTGTCTTATATAAAAATTCCTTTTGTTATCTGAAATTTAAAAAATTATAATTATATATTTTAAATTTAAATCGAACTCCTTTTGTTATCTTAAAAAAATATAAAGTTATATATTTTAACAAAATTAAACTCCTTTTGTTATCTGAAATATATATATATATATATATATATATATATATATATATATATATATATATATATATATATAGTTAAATTAATTCTCTAATAATATACATACTGAAATTAATCAATGATAGAACACTAGCAATATTTATTGGAATGTTTTTGTAATTGGTTAAAATATATATATATATATATATATATATATATATATATATATATATATATATATATATATATTCACTTCACTTATTTTTATAGCGTTACCATCACCCTCCTACCTAACCATTACACACCACCTACCTACCCCTACGATCACTATTTCCTATATTCCTATTTATTTAACCTATCCCCTATTTACGCACCATAACCTCTTTATTTTTTCCTACTATCACCTACCTATTTAATCCATCCCCAACTATTCAATGCTCCGCAAATGTCTACTTACACATTACAACATATGCATCTATTGCATTCATATTTCTTTTCCTTGTTTTACTATTATTTATAACTTAATCCCATCTACCTAACCACAAGGCCATAAATAACAACTTACATAGTTACAATATTACTTGATACTTTTATCAATTGTCACTACGTTTTTATTTCTTTATGAAGAAAAAAAAAATAGTGCAAATTAGTTTCATATTTAACAAATCAATAAATAAATAGATTTTGACTCATTTAATAGCTTTCTAATGAAAATGAAAACTTGAATTTTTTTAGATGTGTAGTGTGTGTGCGTGTGTATGTGTGTGTTTGTGTGTGTGTGTGTGTGTGTGTGTGTATATATATATATATATATATATATATATATATAGAGAGAGAGAGAGAGAGAGAGAGAGAGAGAGAGAGAGTGAGTGATGAAGAGAGAGATAGAGATAGAGAGAGAGAGAGAATTGTATCAATAGCTCAAAAGCTATTTGAAGTTTGGTAGTTTTTTTTTTTAATATCTTTATCACTTTTAATGGCAGAGAAGTTTGTAAATGCGGGTGTATTAAGTATAAAAAATTTAGAAAAAATAGATACTGTATTCAATAAAACATGTTTCGAAATGACTTTGTCAATGTTTTCACAATTTCAATTTCTTTACAAAGAAAAAAAAATTTTGTGGTTCAAATTAAAAAAAAAAAAATTCAACTCTTATAGCTAGTAAAGTGGATGAGACTAGAGATTACCATCTCAATTTAAGGAGTTTCGCTAACGATTGAAGAGATCGGGTTGATAGATGTATAGAAACCTTTTTTTCCAATTGAGAGACGAGAGTTAAAAGAGATTGAGAGCGACAGAGAAGATTAAAGTGAGAGGAGACTTGAGAGCGATGGGATTTTGTGGCTTAGAAAGAGAGAGAGGATTTCGGTGCTTAGAAAGAGAGAGAGAGAGAGAGAGAGAGAGAGAGAGAGAGAGAGAGAGAGAGAGAGAGAGAGAGAGAGAGAGAGAGAGAGAGAGAGGGAGGAGGGTAGAGGGGGAAAATGGTAAAAAACATATAAAGGGTTAGGGTTAGACATTTGGACGGGAGGAAATTGGGTTGGCCAACAAAAACAAATTCCATTTAGAGAATTGGTCCAATTTGTTTTCTATTTAGAAAATGTAATGAGTATAAATAATGGAAATATATTTAAATGGAAATAGAGGATTAACAAATAGGATTCGGTGCTTATAGAGAGAGAGGGGGGAGGGTAGATGAGGGAAACGGTAACAGGCAAACAAAGGGATAGGATTAGACAATTGCAGTTGGAGGAATTAAATTGGGTGGGCCAACGAAAAAAATTTCATTCATAGAATTTGGTCTATTTGCTTTTAATGTAGAAATGGTAAAAAAAAATATGTAGAAATGGAAAAAAAAATTCTATACAAATTAGCCCTTAAAGTATATTTTGTTTACAAAATTGAGTTTGGAGGAAAGAGAATAATATTCAATAGGGAATCGAAAAGTAAGATATAGAATATAAATTATATTCCATTTTTGGCTCTTGGAATGTATATATTTTAAAAATTGTATTCAGGTTTTGCCGTTTTGGTTTGTTTTAGAATGAGAAATTACGTAAGCATTCAAATTATTGAAATACTCTATATAATAACAAATATTTATTATTAGGGATAGCATATTCTTAAGAATAGTACGTATTTTCATGAATATATAAACTTAAAAAATTATAGAATAAGCTTACTCATAGGAATTCTACACCATTCTAAACATATTCCATGAATCAAACATGTTATTAGTCTTTTAAATTAATGTGTGTTTTATTCTTCTTTGTTGAATCTTTAATTAGCAATTAGGCATTCTATTACTTTTGATACTATACATCACTGGTAATTTTTAAGCCCAGGCAAACCATAGAATTAGGAAATATAGCATGTAGGAATGATGAGAATTGGACATGGGGTGTTAGACTAAGATGATAGGTAGCTAGTACCATTTCAGCCTCTATCAATTTGTATTTGTGTAGCAATTCTTAGTGGAGCTTCATTGGAGTTAAGGAGAAGTGTGGAGTAAGAATGTTTCCGAATCACTATAAAAATATTAATATCATTTACTTTATGCACCTTATTTTCTTATCATATGCAAACTAACCTCATACTTTGACACACACTCAAAACTTGACTAAAACTTTAAATCGCCTCACACCCACTAGTCCAACTAAGAGGCGCTGGACAGCTACCGCCCATGCCATGGCTTAGGGAACCTGGCGGTCCCTCTCGCCAGTCCAGTGACGACTACTCGTGGCCGGTCATAACCCTTTAATGGTGGTCATGATCCATATTTATGGACTTTCTTACCCACTTCTTCCAAACCCAATATAACAATGACTCCCCACTTGTGGGTTTGCCTACCTTCGTCCTACCAAACCCATCATCACCCGCTCCTCATAGTGGGCCTTCCAACCCACTCCTTCCAAGCCCAATATCACCACACCTCCTAGTGGATTTACCTATCCCCTCATTCCAAGCTTAACATCATTACCCTCTTGTTTTGGGCCTTCCTTCATCCCTTCTAATCCAATAGTCTTAAGGCCGAAGGCCCCAAGCGGGAACGGAGCCAGAAATTCGGTTGAGGGGGGGCGAAGCAGTAGGGTTGGATTCAGAAAATTTTTCCAGTAAAAGCGAAACATGAAAACAAAAAAGATAATTTAAAAAAAAAATTACCTAAGAGATATAGTTGTAAATATTGTTGGATATGGGCGAAAAATAAAACACATCGAAACTTCATAAAAATATTCGTAACAAAATATGAAACATAATTAATTTGATAAAATAATTTGAATGGAAAACACATTATAAATTACATATCTCAATATTAATATAAAACATTTGTGTGTGTGTATGTGTGTGTGTGTGTGTGTATGTGTGTGTGTGTGTGTGTGTGTTTGTGTGTGTGTGTGTGTGTGTTATAAATATTAGAAAAACTATTAAAAATGTGACTGTGTTGAATCCTACGGAAAGGAGTCAAAAAAACTCTAAAACTATGTTAATGCCAAAGGATTCAAACCCTTAACATTTAGGTACAATTATCAAACATGTGCTCTACTAGCTAAACTAACTCATTTCTTGTTAATATTTAATAGTTTTTTATATTAATACTAAAACCTGTACTATATATACATATATACACTACTACAGAAAACAGCTTTAACGTCACTATTTTAACGTCGAATTTTAGAAAATCCGACGTTAAATATTTAAAATTATTATTATTTTTTTAAATACATATGACGTCGGTTAAAGTAAATAACCGACGTCATATATTATTGTAATTAAAAAAATAAAACAAAATAGGTACGACGTCGGCTATTTTAAAATAGCCGACGTCGTAACTTATTTAAATAAAAAAATTGAAACTAAAATAACATACGACGTCGGCTATTTAATTGCGAGTCTAGCATTACATATATCCATGTATGCAGTGTTCTCAACACCCCGGGGAAGTGGATGATGAAATGGTAAGTTTGAAATGCAGACTAGATTAGTCCACGATCCTTGAACTCCATACTCATTCATCACCCTAACTTCCATTTGACCTTTGTGATGAAAACCTGCAAAAAGCAATCCTCTTGATTCACTTATACAAATAGCGACCCCATGTTCATGGCTAGGTAAAGCTATAGCTTTGGCAGTTTCAGTGGTTAAGTTGAAAGAAATTATGTTCCAATTCCAGTCACTGCCTTGAAAGTTGTTGTTGCACCAATTGAGACTACCACTCATAAACACAGCAATTCCTGGATTAACAAACCCAGTAGTACTAAGCCCTCTTTCACTTCTTTTCCATGACCCATGCTTAAAATTGTACACCATAACAACATTCTCATCACCATACTTAGCACAATAAACATAAACAACCTTGTAGTCGTCATTATGCTCGTCGTATCCAAACCCAAAAATGCCCATGTAGCCCAACTTCCAGACATCCGGGATTCTTTTGATGTTTCCATTCGATGAAGGGTTCCAAATGATTATTCTATACGGTTTAGCGCGGAAACAAAAAAAACCCATTGCAAGAACCCAAAAATTCGAAACCATCTTTAGGGGTAAAGATTGAGCAGTCATATGTAATAAACTTGCGAAATGATGATTGCTTGTTTTCTGTAATAGAAAACAAGGACGTACCGCTAATAAACCAATTTAACCTGCTATATGTCATGACCTTATTATCCTTTTTCGATTGAAAATGTAGGTGCAATTTGACAAATTCTGGAGACAAGATTAAATCATGCCAATCTTTTGAAACACACCTAAATTGAATAAGAGACTTCACAGGCAGCCTTTTAACGATTTCTGTGATAATATCTTGATTCAAATTTTGTTGTGGCATATGACGCTTCCGCTTAGGAGTAGGAAATGACATTGTGATTGTGTGTCTTGGATTAAATTTCCTTAGCTTTTGTTATCTGAAAATAGAAAAAAAAAACAATAATTATATATTTATACCAAACCCCGATATGATCCTTCCCACTATCCACAAGAAATTTGAATGTCAGTACAAAAGGAATAAAAGCCATACAAATTACAAAAAGATTCCAATAAATATTGCTAGTGTTACATCATTGATTAAATTCAGTATGTATATTATTATAGAATTAATTTATTTAGAATTTAATAAATTATCTATATGAATAAATTAATATTTAATTTTTAATAAACTGCTAATAAGAATTTTAAAAACTAAAATGATTCCCACGTAGCTATTTGCCACTATGTCTACTTACTATCCATCATCTCCCATCATCCCATTTATCACCTTCATATTTCTTTTACTTGTTTTATTATTATTTCTAACTTTATCCCATCTACCTAACCACAAGGCCATAACAACCTACATAGTTACAATATTACTTGATACTTTTATCAATTGTCACTACATTTTTAACGCTTTATGAAGAAAAAAATTTAATGTCAATTAGTTTCATATTTTATACACTGATAAATAAATAGATTTGAACACATTAAATAGCTTTCTAATAAAAATGAAAACTTCTCAATTTTTTTAGAAGTATATATATATATATATATATAAAGACAGATATAAAGATTGATAGAGAGATAAAGAGAGAGATAGAGATAGAGAGAGTGAGAATTGTATCAAAAGAGCCCAAAAGCTATTTGAATTTTGGTAGTTTTTTTTTTTTTCTCTCTCTCTCTCTCACATTTAATTGCGGACAAGTTTTTAAATGCGGGTGTAGTAATTAAGTAACCAAAATTTAGGAAAATTAGAAAATGTATTCAATAAAATATGTTTCAAAATGAATTTGTCCATGTTTTCCAAATTTCAATTTCTTTACCAAAAAAAAAAAAAAAAACATTATTATTTTTTTTTTTGCGGTTGTTCAAATGGACAACATACATCTACAGTTGAAAAAAAATTTTCAAGTTTTATAGCTAGCAAAGGGGATGAGATTATAGATTACCTTCTCAATCAAAGGAGTTTCGATGACGATTGAAGAGATCGTGTTGATAGATGTATAGAAACCTTTATCCGAATCGAGAGACAAGAGTCAAAAGAGATTGAGAGCGAGAGAGAGAAGATTAAATTGAGGGGCGACTTGAGAGAGAGGATGGTATAGGGGGAAATGGTAAAGAGTATATAAAGGGTTAGGGTTTAGACATTTGGACCGGAAGAAATTTGGTTGGCCGACGAAAACAAATTCCATTTAGAGAATTGGGCCTATTTGTTTTGCATTTAGAAAAGGTAATGTGTATAAATAATGAAAATATATGAAATGGAAATGGAATTTTAACAAAGAGGATTTTGGTGCTAATAGAGAGAGCGGGATGGTAGATGGGGAAAATGGTAACGAGAAGGGTTAGGGTTTAGACATTTGGAGTTAGAGGAAATTGGGTGGGACGACAAAAAAAAAATCCAATCAAAGAATTTGTTTTTAATGTAGTAAAGGTAAGGACTATACAATACGGAAATGGGAATAAAAATTCCATACAAAGTAGCAATTAGAGTATATTTGGTTTACATAATTGTGTTTGGAGGAAAAAGAGTAATATTCAATAGGGAATCGAAAAGGGAGATATAGAATATGAATTATATTTCATTTTTGGTTCTTGAAATGTATATATTTTAGGAATTGTATTTAAGTTTAGGTTCGTTTTAGAAATAGAAATTACGTAAGCATTCAAATTATTGAAATATTGTACCCTATATAATAAAAGATATTTATTCTCGCATATTCTTGAGAATAGTTTTTTCAAAAATATATAAACTTACCAAATGATGGAATAATCGTATTCATAGGAATTCTATAGCATTTTAAGCATGTTCCATGAATCAAACTTGTTGTTAGTCATTTAGATTCGTGTGTGTTTTATTCTTCTTTGTTTTATTCTTCGCTTATTTGTTTATTTTAGTTTCGGTACTTAAAAAATGATATCATTCGATTTAGCATTATAATTCGGTTCGGTTTGAAAAAGTTCGATTTTAGTTCGAAATTGGTCCGATTCGGTATTCGGTTCAATTTAAGAACGCCAAATTTTAAAATTTCCTAATTTTACAAATACACTACCAAACAATATATATTCGAATATTCCAAATCCATGGTCTAAACATTTTATAACAAAATAGCAATGCAAAGTTCAAGCACACTACTAGTAAGTACTAATTACCAAATATCAGTTGTTTTTTTTACACAACTAACTCTTTAGTTGCCTCACTTGGAATGTTTTATTGACAAGATGAAGAATCATCTATATGTATAGTTAATATTTGGAGAACAAATGTCCAGTACTGTATAACTAATTTTTTGACACAATCTGTCATTCCTAGTGCACTGGAATATTTTTTTTCCAGTGCACTGGAAATATATTCCAGTACTAGAAAATAATTCTAGTGCATTGGAAATCAAAATTAGAATGATGTTAAAGAACATTAATTTCATAGAAATATGAAACTAAGGAATATGCCCGCATGGGTAGCTTAACTGGTCATAGAGGTGAAAGTTTGGAAGAATGACCGAGGATTGAGTCTCACCAGCGGCAGTGTGGGAGCAACCTCTCAACGTGAGGGGGGCTCCTTGTGCACAGTAAGCAAAGGTCTAGCATCTGAGAACTGTTGCTCTAGTCCATCAAATCTTTTGGAATATGGGATGTGCCGTGAAATTTTGAATGAATTCCTCGCATGATGCCATGTGTGAGAAACACTTGTATGATCACACGTGGTTTGCCCCAAGCGGTACGTAGGCACTACTACATGTTGGCATATCAATCATTATTGTGTGGACCATGGTCCATACAAGTTGTATGGACCATATTTTGTATATTGTAAAATAATGTATATTCAGTACAAAAATAATGTACGTTCAGTACAAAAATAATGTACATTATATTTTGGGAATGTACATTATTTTTGTACTGAGTGTACATTATATTGTATAATGTACATTCAATACAAAAATAATGTAAATTTAGTATATTAAAAATGTATTTTTTGTTATGGTTCACATAACATTGTGTGGACCATGGTCCATACAATAATTTGTCTTGGCATATGCTCATGCTTGAGTGCAAGGCCTATAGCAGTAATGTGGGCTCATTAAGCAAAAACACATAACCCCGTGTAAGGTTTCCAACATGGCTACACCACCTCTAGCCTTATCTCGTGCCCCACCTTCTACCAGACTAAGGATAGCCACATCCTAAGTGCATGAACAACCCCTGGAGAATAGGGAGAAATACCCAATTCAAGATGTCACCCAAAATGCGCATTTTTTTTTCTTTTTTATTATTATTATTATTATTTTTTTTTAATATGAACTGTGCATTTATTCCATCAAAAGGAGGCAAACGCCTTTACAAGAACGCCATGGCTCCAAAAGTGAGCCATGGCTCACAATATATGTACAAGAGTGGCCCAAAAGTGACCACCCCACCACAAAAGACTATAAGACTAAAAAGGCCCATGAGCCTAAATCAAAAGAGGCCAAATGGCCTAAATAGAACCAGGCCCTTCGGCCTTCTAGGCCCAAAGGCCCCTCCTTAAACTGCCACCAAAAGCCCACGGCTTACTCATGTAAAAGGCCCAAAGGCCGAAACCTTCTCAAGCAACTCTGACAATTGAGCATCACTAAGCCCAATTGATATTGCAAAAGTTTTAATTTGTGCAGCATCTCTAAATGGCTCCAACAGACACACAATTTTTGGCCTATACATTCTCACCAAGTTTTTGATCCTATGAGGGGAGCCTTGGGAGCCCACTCCCCTCACATTCCAACATATAACTTTCATCTTTTTTTTTTCCTAGGAGAGGCCTTCTTGCCCCTCTTGATAGACCTTTGAGGTTGGTTTTGCTCCTGATTCTGCTGAGGGTTCAAGTTCTGACTAACCTGAGCCCTTGTCCTTGTTCCCACTGGTGATACATGCATCCTCTTACAATCATTTTCAATTTCTACTTCATTTTCAGCAACCCTTTGATTCTGTTCTTGTTCTTTCACTTGAGTCCCTAACATCAGACAATTCATCAGAGACATCATCCTTATGGGCTGCCTTGTCCTGGCCTGGTACAAGTTCTGGTCCAGGATCAATCTCCTCTGGCTTTATTTGATTTCCTTCCTCATCAACATCGTACAGGGCATTGAAACCACCCCCTTCAACCACCTGCACCCTTTCTGCTTCCTTTTCTTTCCCCTTCCCATACTGAGTTGTCTCCTTCTCCACCACTGGTTCCCCCTCACAAGGCTCCCTAATCACCACTCCAGTATTTTGCTTTCTAAACTGCCCCCTACCTCCTCCATAATTATTTGCGTTTCTACCCCCTCTCCCTCTAACTGATCCTCCCCTCCCCCTTCCTGCTCCCTCTCTCCCAGTGTCATAGATCCCTTCTTGAACATTCTGCTGCACATTTTCATCTTTCTTTGTCCCAGATGTGCGTGCTTGCCCCAAGGTCTCCA